TCCCCCTGCTCTGCAACTCATGAGATTTAACGTTAACTGATCAAACGAAGAGACTGTATCAGCTGTCGTCCAGGCTTCAGCTGAGATAGAGTATTGTGACTCCTATACTAGAAATTACCACAAATAAATTGAGTGGCAGAAATATAGTTCAAATTAATCTTGTGTGTGTTTTTGGAAGTGGAGGAAAAAGATGCCATGAAAGTCTGACCATAAACTATACATACATAGTTTCTTATTCTTTTCTACATTCTTCTGGACCTGAATCTAGTATGTGATCTTATCCTTTCCTTTTGATTTCCATTAAGTTCAGACTAAGTTCTACAGTTTATGTCTACTTTTTTGTACTCAGTTTCTTTTGCAAGCTACTTGGGAAAGTAGAGATTTATTCTAACTCTTACATTGTAAAATAACACATTTGTTATTTTATTGACCTTTACACAACTTCTCTCCACTATTTCTTTTCCTGTCTGAGTATCCTGATCTGTTTAGCTTCACCTGTTATGGAAACTTCTCTACACCTGATAATTTGTGTGACCTGTCAGTCTCACTTCTGTGCTGAGGAATACAATTGAGCAGATCCTCCTGGAAGCTTTGCTAAAGCACATGGAAGACAGGGAGGTGATACAGAAGAACAAATATGTCTTCACCAACGGCAAGTCCTGCTTTACCAACTCAGTGGCCTTCTGACTTCAGACTACCCTGCCTTTGACAGAGAACTCCAGAATGTCCTTCTCTTCAAATTGGAAAGACATGAACTTGATGGGTGAGCCATTCAATAGATGAAAAAAGGGTTGAGTCCAGAGAATGGTGGTCAGTAGCTCAGTGTCTGGATGGAGATTTGTGGTGAGTGATCAGTGCTGGGACTGACACTCTTTAATATCTTCATTAGTGACATTGACAGTGGGCTCAAGAGCACCCTCAGCAAGTTTGTGGATGACACCAAGCTGAGAGGAGCAGTTGACACAGCAGAGGGGCAGAATGCCATCCAGAGGGACCTGGATGGGCTTGAGTAATGAGACCAGGTGGATTTCATGAGGTTCAACAAACCCAAGTGCAAAGTCTTGCACCTGGGTCAAGGCAACCCCCTTTACCAATACAAGCTGGGGGATGAAAGGATTGAGCACAGCCCTGCCAAAGAAGGCCTAGGGCTGCAAGTGGATGGGAAGCTGGATATGAGCTAACTGTGCTCTCACAGCCCATAAGCCCATCCATATCCTGGGCTGCATCAAAAGAAGCATGGCCAGCAGATTGAGGGAGGAGATTCTGCCCCTCTACTCTGATGAGGCCTCACCTAGAGTACTGTGTCCAGATGTAGAGTCCTCAGTACAGGAGAGTTGTAGACCTGTTCGTTGGAGTGCTTCTAGAGGAGGGCCACAAAAATGATCTAAGTGACATAACACCTCTCCTACAAGGACAAAGTGAAAGAACTGGGGCTTTTCAGCCTGGAGGAAAGACTACTCTGAGGTAACCTTGTAGGGGCCTTTCAATACCTAAAGGGGAGCTACATGAAAAAAGACGACAGATTCATTAGCAGACTGTTGTAACAGAACAAGAGTAGATTTAGGATAGATGTAAGGGTAGTGAGGTACTAGTACAGGCTGCGCAGGGATGCTGTAGATGCCCCATCCCTGGAGACATTCAAGGCAAGATGATCAGACTCTGGGCAATCTGATCTAGCTGTGTATGTCCCTATCCTTTGGGGACTTGGACTAGGTGACCTTTAAAGGTCCCTCCCAGTTCTAAGGATTTTATGATCCTATTTTCCCAACCACTTTTTAAATTGGTAAGGATGTAAACTTACTTAGCTGCCAAGACCTATTGTTCTGCAAAGCCAAAACATCTTTGCTGATAAATTGGTAACTTTTTTGCTTACGCCTTCTAATTTTTAGTGTGAAAAAAAAAAAAAATCTATTAATTGAACTCTCATTCTCATTGTTCTCTTACTGAAATACTTTTCAGGGAAAAAAAAATTACTTCTCCCCACCCCCTTCCTCCCCCCACTCCCTCCCTTCATTTAAGCATCATTTATATAAAAAAAAAAACTTACTACCTTCATTTGAGACGACCTTATAACAGAGGCTAAGGACAGAAGCCTGCTATTCTTAGCTGAATAGCAGCATGCCTAAGCAAGGTCTCCAGCTAGTGTATATCTCTCAATTCACTTGTATGGAATTTAAAGAGATTTTACATTTTATCTTTGACAGTTATGGTGAATTATGGCTTTTCATTTGACTGTAACTAAGAGTGTAAGAAAAACTATTTTAAATTTACAGGACTGGACTATGATGACCAAGTCCTGTTTGAGTTCATGATCTTAAGATACGTTGGCATGGTGAAGAACAAAGTCAGGATGCTGAATTTCAGGAGGTAAAATTCCCATCTGTTTAAAGAATGAGTGGGAGAGATCCTGTGGTTAATGTTCAGATTCGCAAAAACTGAAGACATTGCGCAAATAAATTATTAATACAAACACCTTGTTTGTGTGTTTAGGGCATAAGTCTTCCCCTCACAGAGGCTGAGGGTTTGTATTTTTAAAGGAAAAACAAAGCTAGTGAGAAATGTAATATTCACAGAAAATAGCCTGCTGTACTTCCAGCTGCTATGCAACAGTCACATTAACCCGTACTCAATGGCAACTAGTTCTATCGTAGATCCCAGTGCCAATTTGAATATTTTCTTTTTAAACACAGTTGCATCATCTGATTTGGACACAGCATTGCAACATATGAAAAATCTTAGCAGTTTAAAGTATAGTTTGAATGAACAGTGCATATGAATGGTATGTAGTGGAAGCTACCAATACTTCAGTGTTCACCTTAGCAAGTTAGACATTTATATTTACATAGTATTTTGTCCTTAAAGCACATTTTTATTGTTCTATGATATTTTTCTTGTTAGAACTTGCACTTATGCTATTCATGCTAGCATTGCATCTCCGTGACAGAGGCAGACCCCCAAAACATACTTCGGAATCAGATAAAATTAATGCCCAATTGTCAGTGTAACATAAATCTGAGAAACACAGAAAATTTTGAGCAAAGCATACACGAAATCTGTAAAACAGTTTTTACCACACTTAAACAACATTAAGTCTTTATGAAATATTTGCTAGAAGGAATAGGGAAATTTTTCTTCCTTCAGGAATATTTGAGGAGATATTTTTCTATTTATTTCACTAGAGCCATATTGTGTAATGTTTCCTGCTTAGAAACCGTTGTATTTTTCTTTTGTAGTAAAGGGCACAGTTCTCAGCAGAGACATCTAATTTGTATGCAAATCAGGTAGCATCATATAAAGCCTCAAAGCATCTTAGCCTGGAACCTTGCCTTCTCAGGAGAGAAGACTGTAAAAACAGGACATTATATTAAGTGATGTAACAGCATTCATTTTTTCAACCTAGACTGACTTGCTCAAAGTCTCTCACACTTTCACTATGCATGCCACGTGGACACTTCCAAAATTTCCTGAGAACACTTTTAGAAATTGTTCTATTTATTTATTTATTTTTGCAGGTAATATGCCTGCTAAAATTTGAGCTTTATCAAAATTCTTTTTCTTTGCATTTGTACTCTTATGTCTGAAGTCACTTATTTACTTACATCTTATACTTATGCATATTACAGAATAAGTAAGGTTGTGGATGGGATAGACTTGGTAAGAGAACAGGACTTTCAGGATGAAATTGTGGTAGCATTAACCACACAAGTATTTTTCTAACTGCTTACACGAGGCTGGCTTTTAATGTGAGACTTCGTCTGGATTGCTGGCAGCAAGGGTATCACTCCCCACTGAGATCAGAATAACAGACTATTTGCTCGTAAATCTTCAGATATTTTTCTGTTCCTCTTGTTACACAACAACTAAAAGCCTACTTCTGTTCTCTGTGAGCCTGTTCTACTATCTATAGGCAAACTATCATTAACACTGGTTGGTACAGGATAAAATTATATTTAACTAGTGTTGGAAAGCACAACAGTGATAGCAGAGTAGCAAGATCTCAGGCTTCAGCAAGTATGGATTCACTCAAAGACAACAGGGAGCACAGAAATAAGGAAAAGATGCTGCTTACCTTCAAAAGGACACAAGTAGACAGGGATCTCCAGAGAGATACCCTCACTTCCACTGCCAACCCTTAAATGAGGTCTGGGAAGGGATGGATCCTGACTCCACCCCTTCTGGTTACTCAGGTGCATTACACACATCTGAGATCCCCTGGCTTCCTACCACATGTAATCACTATTCCAGGCTGTGACAGCATTTCCGCTACAACTTGTGACTACAACAGAGGTTTTCAATAGCTGTTTTTTTTTTCCTGATGAAATCAACATCAGATTTTAGCAAGATTTCAATCAGGCTTCTTTGAGTGTTTGTAGTAAAAATGAATTTGTATTTGATAATGATAAAGTTGAGTGTCTATGGGTAAGGATCAGGGGAAGGCCTGTAGGGCCATCATCTTGCTGGGGGTCTGTTATAGACTGCCTAATCAGGATGAAGAGATGGACAAGACATTCCATGAGCAGCTTGTAGTTGTGCAGCTTGCACAATCGCCAGCACTCATTCTCACAGGAGACTTCGGCTTCCCTGATATATGTTGGGAATACAATACAGCACAAAGGAAGCAGTCCAAGAGGTTCCTAGGGTGCATAGCAGATAACTTCCTTACACAGCTGGTATGAGAGCCTACCAGGGGTGGTGCCCTGCTAGACCTGCTCTTCACTAACAGAGAAGGACTGGTGGGAGATGTGAAGGCTGGGGACTGTCTTGGGCAGAGTGACCATGAAATTGTAGAATTGTTCTTGGAGATGCCAGAAGGGTGACCAGCAAAACTGCTATCTTGAACTTCCAGAGGGCAGACTTTGACCTGTTCAGGATGCTTGTTGCAGGGGTCCCTTGGGAGTCGCTCCTTAAGGGTAAAGAAGTCCAGGAAGCCTGGATACTCCTGAAGATAGAAATCTTAAAGGCACAAAAACAGGCTGTAAGGCAAGCCATAGGGGAAGAAGACTGGTATGGATGAACTTTATTGGGATGCATTGCTCTTCTTGGTGCCTTCTTCCCTTCAGGTCTTCACCCTTTACATTACTCTACCAAGCACATCCTCAAAAAGATTAAAGTTTGCTCTACTGAAGTCCAGTAGTGAGCTTGACATGAGTCTACTTTGTTTCTCCAGTATCCCAAACTTTGCCTGTTCGGTATCCCAGTATTCAAGAAGGGCAAGAAAGATGACCTTGGTAAATACAGGCCTGTCAGTTGTAATTAAGTGCCTTATGAAGTTACACAGTACTCTGAAGAGGAGTATTCTGAGGGTTTTTGAAAAACACCTGAAAGACAGTGTAGCCATTAGCAATAGCCAACATAGGTTCATAGGGTTAAGATCCTGTTCAAAAAACTTAGCCTCCATTTACGGCAAGTCTACCCACCCTTTTTACTAAAATGAAGCAGTTGATACAGTATTTTTAAATTACAACAAAGCTTTCAATACTCTATAGGACATAGAAGCCTTCTGAACAGTATGTTCAGCAGACAAGAATATAAGGCAATGAATGGGCTGAACTCAAGAAACCAGTGACTAGTTATGTTCCATTTTAGAGCCAGTTCTCTATAATGCTTTTATAAATTGGCTAAATACAGGACTCAAATGTTGTTACAGTTGGAAAGAATATCACAGAGAAATAGAAAGAAACAAACAGAAAAGGAATGCTCACCCATACTCCAAGATTTGGGTTTGTGATGAAAGACTCCATAAAGAAGGGATCTTCAATCAGAGGTCTTTCCCTAGGGGCAGTCAGCCCTTAAATGAGGTCTAGAAGAGGTGCAGCCAGGCTCTACCTCTTCTGGTCACACAGCTGAATTGCCTTCACCTGTGTATTACAGATAAAATAACAATACTAATTATGGATGTTTCTAACTTGTCTCAGTCACTTTTGAGCATATCATTCTTAAAAATCACTACAGATAATTAATTACACGGTAATCTTTCTTGTATTTTTTGAAAATCATATCCTGGAACAAGGCAAAAGGCTCTGAAATACATATAAAACAATGTTTATATAAATAATAGTATAGATATGCTAGGAAATGTAATACTGTTAAGCCTGATACAAGCGCACACACACAAATAAAGTGTGTGTTTATTTGTGATAGTTGAGATTTGCAGAAGTATTTGGTAATTTAAGACATCTTATTTTAAGTATAGGTCAATAAGGTAATGTAAACAAGCACATCATTTTTAGCAGTAAGGCATCACTTATATACTTTTTATTCCTAGAATAAGTAGTCTCTCCAAGCAAACAGAATGTGAACTGATGACCAACATAAACATTTTTCTGCTCATTGAGACTCTGGCAGTTATCCCTTTTCCATTCTGTAGCTCTTTAGAATTCTTTTCACTTTGAAAAATAAACACAGGGACTGGTTTCCCTTATTTCTTCCTCCCCTTTCACACTGTCAAGCAATGTAATCAAATGAAATTTCTTAGCTCTTTAGTCCTTTCACCACTAGTTGAAAGGGTTGGCAGGTGAGTGACTTCTTTGACTGAGGGCCAGCTCCAGATAATAACTAATCATGAGCTTTTTTTTTTCTTTTTTTTTCCATCTGAAGCAGAGGGACAAGTGACCAGATCAGAAGAGTTTCTATAAAGTCTAAAAAAGATTTGGATTTACATAGCAAATAGAGATTTGCAAATATTTATTTAACAGATAAATTAATTCTTGGTAGTGCAAGATTTGGAAGCAAGTAAATCCACTATTTTAGTTAGTGGCTGAATTCCTATGTAAGTTTCAGGAGCAAGAAAATAATAATAATAATAAAGTAATATTAATTAAAAAAGCAAAGGGAAAATCCCTGTGAAGTTTAGCTGTCATCTTACAGAGGAAAAATCTAATAGTAGCATATAGCCCAGGCTCATTTTAAGAATTGTTTGGATTGTGAAAAAGTCACAGGGAAGAAAACAGGTGGGCCACAGACCAGTCCTGTTAGTGCGAGTTCAGTCTTGAGTGCTTTTGAATAGGTCGTTCTCCATTGTCCAAGTGCCATGAAAAGTAATTAATCCTGAGTATAATGTAGCTCCATCAGGACAGTCATTACGAGAGGACTATTTATCCTTCCTTCTCAATGCGCTGTTATCCTGGTGTTGTATTACCAGGTTGTATCTGTCATTTTGACATAACTTCCATTATTTTATCCATCGTTGAAGCGTGTGGGTATGTGCTTTCTTTCTTGGGTTTTTGGTTTGTCTTGGGTTACAAGAGGTAAATATAATGAAGAATATATGAAAATAACACCCAGTTATTAGATTAATGAACAGGAAAAAAATTGCTTTTTATCCTCTCTAGAAAATTAACATTCATCCTTATTTGTTGCAGAATTTTGGTTGGCTGCCATGTCAGCTTGCTGATGAGCATTGTCCTCAAACTTTTCTTTCAATGTCTTTTGCTGATTCAGTCCCATAACTAAACTAAGATTTTAAAGATAACTTCCCTTCTGCTCCGCCTGGACTAAAATCTCATCTTCCGTGATTCAGAAAGACCTTTATAAATGAGTTCATCAAAAAAGCTATAAATATTCTTACTTACCCACACTAAGCCTAGATCAAGGTGTGTACTGAACTGTCACAACTAGTTGAAAATGTCTTAACATAGTCTAGGAATGCCAGAACTCACAGCCTTGTCAGACATGAACTAACAAGCACTAAGGAATTTTGCCCATATATTGTGATTCCTCAGACTTGATGAATATATTCTCTTGTCAGTGCCATACTTTCCTTTTCCTTCAAGGGAAGCCTTTAATGAATGATGTATGATATAATGTATGAATTACAAGAATCTTCCAAAAATAACTAGGGCAAGTGGCAGGTTTTTTACATTACATGATTACCCAAGTGACCCAAGCAGAACAATGAAGGAAAACAACTTCTTTTTTGTTTGTTTGCCTTATGAGGCTTTTTAGGTTCTGAACAATCATTATCACTCGGGGTTCTCATACACTACATACATGTAAGCATGTATAACATTACAGCTTGATGAACAAGTTGCTTAAAAAAACTTTAAGAATCTCTTTTCTACTCTGAAATTCTCTTTCTGTTGTTGCAGTGAGTAAAAAAACTCTTCCCACTTATTCCCCAGGTTTTTATGTATGTTTGCCACTTTAGCATACTCTTTCGCTTTTAATAGTCACTTAGATTTCCTTTTTTTTCTTAAAGGTTATTTCTTCTTTTGTTTCATATGAGAATAAGAAAATTCAGTTTTAGACAAAGCAGGAAATAATCAAGGGTAGGCATCTGACACTGCATTTGACATTGCATTTTAGGTAATAGAAACCCCATGCAAATACTGACTTTTTTTTTTTTTTTCTCATAATCTTATTTATACTAAGATTTAATTTAATGAATTTAATGAAACATGGTTTTCAGATCTCCACATAGCATTACTACTTTATCTAAATACATTGCTCTGAGCTTATCATCTTCTCTTTGCCTTCTCTAGGCTGTGGAACAGAAGATACAATGGAGAAGCTGAAGGCACACCAGGTGAAATCATTAGTCTGACTATTTCATTATGTAGGACATCTAAATGATTCAATGCAATGCTTGTTCAGATGTGAATTATCAGTTATACTTGCCAACAGAAACAGTTGCAGTGGGACTTTTATATGACACTGATTTTGTGACAGTGTATTGAAGAATGTGTTATGTTTAAACTGTGGAGGTGGTTAATAATTTACACCTGAAAAGTACAGTACTTCGTAGAACAGAAAAAGTCTACTTTTAATTTCTGAGACTTTGAACTCTGTTCCTCAGCACGTAAAGGATCATGCAAACACATGCTGCCATGCAGTCAGTAGTTCATATTACGTATTGTCACACCAGCAACTGAACTGCAGCTCAACCCAAACCATCACCCACAATGATACTATTGAACATGTTTCTTGTAAACCTCCATGCAACATGTATGGATTAAAACAACAAGCAATACCACTGCCTGCTGTATAAATTAGAAGAGACATAAGAACTTGAAAGATTTAAGTAGAAGTTGCTTAAGGAAGAAAGGAACTCAAGCAAACTTTGCTCATCTGTTTCTGGGATATTCTTTTTCTTTTCTCAAAATTTCTGTCAAAGATTTATTGCCCACCCAGATATTCTCTCTCTCCTCCTTCTCAGTAAGGCAGAATAAAAATAAGATGAAAATTCTCACGAGTAAAGATAAATATGGGGAGATCAACTACCAGTTGCTGTCATGGAAAACAAAAACAAAAACAAAAAACTCAACTTGAGGAAAGTTAATTTAGTTTATTGCCTATTAAAATAGATGGAGAGAAACAAAGTTAAAAATGTCTGACTCACACCAACACCCTCTTTTGTTATCAGGCTCAAATTCACTCCTTCATTTCTGACTGCCATAACATCCCTCTACCTCCAGCATGTGGCACAGGGGGATGGGGAATATGGTCAGTCCATAACTGTTCTCTCCAGTGTTGTGAATCCCATTCTCTGGGTCCCAGCTCTTCCTAGATGCTTTGTAGAGAATCTGGACCTTTGCCTTATGGTTTTATTGTCCAATATTAAAAGACCTATTTGCATCACAATGCTAAGCCTCTTTTATTGAGTTAATTGGAGATCTCCGAAAATAGCATTTTCAACTATTATAATTGCTATTTAAATCTTTAATATTTACGCTTCACCTTCCTCATTTTAGGATATTACTTCAATGGCCTTGAACTTTCAATAGACATATTTATAGCTTAGCAGCTTCTGATTCTGAAGAATTTTCATGCTAAACAACATCAGAAATCAACCAGAGTATAGTTTAAACAAAGATGAAGAAATATTTAAGATTACCCCTTACTTCTAATTTTAAAAAAGTACAACATAGATATTTCATTGATACTTAAGTTTTCCATTTTTGTAAGAACAATTTTTACAGAATGGATTGAAAATAACTTTTAAAATACGGGAATCTCAATGACTTTATTAATACAAAATGTGAACCATTAGGTGGGTAGAATAATTCGATTAAGTGTACAACTTTAACACATAGGTAATGACTGTTTATTGATTTTGCTGCCTACAGAAATATGAAATGGAAGTAGGAGCTGTAGATATTGCTGTTATTACTATAGCTTCCACATCCACTTTCCTTTAAAGTGGAAATATTCAGTCTCAGAAGTAGTCCTGTAATCACCGTAAAGGAGTGTGCTGTAAACAAGGTAAAAATAGGAGAAATATGTGCTGATCATGAGAAAGTCATATTGATAGCATGTGAATATCACACAAGACTTGATTTGAAATGTTTTGAATACTCGTTTGGTAAAAGTATGGCACAGTATGTCGAGTTCTGTTGGAAATGCACATACACAAATATTATTTGCATGCCATATGTTAGGCTTAAGGGATGAGGATTTTTTTTCTTAAAAGGCTTTGGAAACACATATTGTTTAGCTTGACAACAATTTTCCACTGTCACCAAGCTCAAAATACATGTATGTTTTAGTTTATCTATAGAAGTAAACCTGTTTTGAGTAAGAAGTTTTGGTCTCAGAAGTGTTTACTTATTAATCAAACGTGAGTTTAACTGGTTATGTCTCTCTTTTCCCCCAGCTATGATAATGACCTATTTTAACTCTGCCTACAGTAGCATAATATTTGATTACCAATTTCTGAAGACTACAGCAGATACTGTTTTGGTCTTGTCTGTACCCTGTTTGGTTGCTCTAGAGCTCACTGCAAGTCAGTACGGTTTTTCTTAGACATTGCCTGCTATGT